CTCTTGGATGAGAGACGAAACGTTTCTATATTTTTTTGCTTTGTTTTGTTTTTTTGAATGTCCAGAGGACCAGACTGAACTTTTTTAGATTTTTCTACCTGGATTATTGAGCATGCATCAGGATAGCTAAATAGGATGATTTTTATCTTTCCAGAGGAAATGAAGCCCCGTTTGGCTGTTAGCTGACCGGTCCTGATGGTGACATAAATACAGGACAGCCATCTCTCCTCCGGGTCGAAGCTGGACCCCAACCAGAACCGTCAGTCAGACAGACTACTGTGAAGAATTATCGTTTCTATGAAAGTAATAAAAATTCTTCCTGTGTGTGCACACAAACTGGTGTATTTGTCACAAAAAATGTACACTTTCTGATATTTTGTACAGAAGCTTAGAGAAAATATTCACTTTATGCATACTCTCACACACAAATACACAAAAACACTGCACCTCAGTCAAGGTGACACTTCTCTTCAACTCATTAGGAGGCATCTAGACATGTATGCTGTCATGGTTGTCTCCCAAAATATCTCAAAGATACTTCATCTGGCGAACCAGCTGTTTGGCTTGAGGGTGGCTCAAGGCAAGATACACTCTGAAACTTAATTTTTAAGTTGACCCAGGAAAGGCAGCTTTATTTGTATGGCACAATTCAGCAGCAGGAAAACCCAAACAGCAGCAAACAAAGACATAACGGGTGCAAAGGAGGAGTAAAAAAATGTTTATAAAGACGTTCAAAAAAATAAAATTTCCTAACTCTGGGAAATAAAACGCGATCTTTGAATGAGAGCAGGAATAAAATACTGAAGAAGTCACAGAGCAGCATACAATAATGATCTGCAGCAGCAACTATGAGGCTCTTTAACCTGGTTATAAAGGAGGTCAGAGTTGGAGCGGTCCTGCACGTCTCGGAGTTTGTTCCAAATATTTGGTGCTTAAAAGCCTGAATGCAGATTCTGCATGTTTGGTTCTGACTCTGGGGGACAGAGAGCAGATTTGATCCTTATGACATCAAAGGTCTCCATGGTTGCAGCAGAATATCAGATGTATTTTCGACTCGGACTGTTTAGTGTTTTGTAGACCAGCAGAAACATTTTAAAAGTCAATTTTCTGAGCGACAGGAAGCCAGCGTAAAGACCTCCGAGCTGGACTGATGTGAGCATCCTTCTTCGTCTTTGTGAGGACTCAAGATCCTGCTGAGAAATCAGTTCTCTAATTTTATCTGTTTTGTTTCAGATGTTAGCAGGACGTCTTTGCATGTGTCTTGATTTTTTTGTTTTGACTGCTCAGGTCAGAGTCCATCAAGGTTTCAGGCTGTATCAGAGCTTTTCAGCCTCGCACACCATAGATGTGATTTAATCTTTCCTCTTTCTAAACATTACTTCAGTTTTGTCTTTGTTGAGCTTGAAAAAAAATAAAAAAAGACCAGCAACAGACGAGTCATCAAGTTACTTCAGCAAAATAATCATCCAGGAGAATCCTGCAGATTACAGATGTGGAGTGATCATTTCACATGATTGCTGTTTGACTTTATTATGTTTTCCTGTTTAGTCTGTTAAAAATACCAACTTATTACAAATAAAATAGTTACACACCTCAAAGTATGTAAATATTGTCCACTTGTTCTATAGAAATGAAATAATTTATAAAAGGTTGGGCAGCTACACTGGTCATTTAACCTAAAGAAAGGATATGGTAAGTAAAAAACTACTTTATAGTAAGTTGAAAACGTAACAATCTTATTCATATTTCCAGATAGATAAGCGTTAAGATTTGTTAACAATAAATCTGGGAGTAAAAAAATAATCCAAATATTTGGAAACGTGCGGAGAAGTTACCACTCCTAAAACTTTTCCCAGCATTTGGCTGCAATAAGAGGAGGGAAGGGAAAAAGGACGCTTGAACAGCTTTGCTTTTAAAAATATTATAATATTCTGACTTTTCTGAGAATTCTGAATTGAATCTATCATCATTTTGAGGTTAAAGTTAGAATTCTGACTTTAATCTTTGAGAAGCAAAAAAAAAAAAAAAACCATCCTCTTATGTATAAAACCGAGACTGCTGATTGAGTACTATCTATTAAAACTTTCTACTGTAGACGAATATATATATATTTTTAAGAGAAAAAAGTGTGCCAGTTTTCATAAAGAAAATCTTTAAAGTATGGAGGTGGATTATTCACACTTTAAACATACATTTTAGCTACAAAAGCTGCTCTCAAGACGTGTTACAAGTGCTGAAATATTTGATTCAGACTCTCCTGCTAAACTGAAATTGAAAGAGATGAAAACAATAAATATTTGAGTCGTTTTACTTTTATAATCAAAGCGTTGTATACCAGGACAGGTTTTCAAATAAATAAATGTTGACAAAACTGTTGCCTTCCTATCCAAGGACATTTAGAACATCTATAAACGCCAAGAACCAAGTGAACTCATCTTCCTTCTATATTTGTTGTCATGGCTGATTGTTTTCTTCAGGAAATCACAATGCATTTTACAACATGAATCCATGTGCAGGTGACTCACTCGCTGCACCAGCATGGTCTGATCCCCATAACCTCCAGCCTGCTCTCCTTCCCCCACCTCTCCCTCGTCTTCATGGACCACCATGGTGTTGACTGAATCAGAGTCTGCATCCCTTTGACTGAAAGAACAAGAGTACCACATGTTGCACATTACACGCCTGTCCACAAACTGTGTTACAGCAATATAGCAATCTGTAGCAATGACCTGGAAAAGAAAAAACCTCGTTTTAATGTTGACCTTGATTTGTGACTTTGACCTTAAGAGCTGGTGCAATGAAAAGTAGAGTGTACGCAACACTATCGAGTGGTAGTGCAAATGTGTATCAAGTTTTGTTAAATTATCTTGAATGGACCAGAAATTATGGTTGACCTTGATTTGTGACCTTGACGTTGAAGCAGGGGTGATGAAAAGTGTCCACAACACTCCATCCAGTGATGATGCATAAGCATATCAAGGTTTGTTAATCTTGAGCAGATCAGAAGCTTTGGGCGGGACAAGCAAACACCTCGTTTAAACTTTGACCTTTATTTGTGACCTTGACCATAGAGATGGAGGTGACGAAAAGATTACACAATACTTGACCTAGTGATGATGCATGTGTTATGAAGTTTTGTTCAATAGTCTTGAGTGGATCAGAAGTTACAGGCAGGACATAAAGTTTACATACAGAGACTATACCATAAGTTCTCCTTCGACGAGTGAATAAAAAGGAAAAGGACACATATTCAGTATTAACAGGGGCTGTGAGATTTGTTACTGGAATCTTATTTATTAATCAGCCTTTATTTAACCAGGCAAACCCCACACTGAGATCAGATTCCTTTTGCAGGGGAGGCCTGGGCCTGAAGGCAGCCAGGAAACCAGAGTACTCCAAGAAAACTAACATGCTGAACGTGCAAACTCCACACAGAAAGAGCCCAGGTCCAAACTGGGGGCTGAACCCAGGACCTTCTTGCTGTGAGGCAACAGTGCTAACCACTATGCCATCGTGCTGCCCAGCACAAAATGGGCAAACAAATGTTTATTTGTTGTTGTTGTCGTTTAGAAGTCACAAAGTGAACACAATCGGTTTGTTGCTTCCTGATTTGTCAAAGTTTGTTGGTGTGAACGTTACCGATCTGTTGAGCTTTCCTCCTCTTCTGCTCCCTCGCCACTCTCGCTTTCTTCACTGCTCTCGCTGCTTTCTGAAGAGGAGGAGTAATCGTTGGCCTTGACAGGGGGCCTTGGTGGCTCCTCAGCACGCTCCTTGGCATAGAGGCCATGGTCCTGCACCCATAAACAGCGCTGTTTACTTTGAGCGTGAACTCAAAGCTGTTTGAAACTTTTCTCAGTGATTAAACATGGAACAAAAAGCATCACAGTGATAAACACAGAACTGCGTTTACAGAGCATCCCAAAACATTTGACAACGAAGGCAAGTACTCTGAAACAATCCAAATGTTGATGAATCAAACTTTTCACAATGCAGAGCATCTATATCGTGGAAGAATGAATCAAAACGGAAAATAATTTGGCAATAAAATAAGAGTTTTACTTGATGAAAAACATGATGCACCCAAAGGATGACAGGTGTTGAGCATGCAAATAATTCTCCACAAACATTAAAGAATCGGGGGAAGATACAAATTCATGCATGAAGACAGTCTCGCATCACAAGAGACGTTACTAACCTCCCCTATAGCTCTCTTGTAACTCTGCGTATTTGAGGTAAAGTCGAGAAACAGGAAGTTAAGGAGAGAAACGTGTAAAATCTATTGTTTTAAGTGTAAAACCATACTCCTTCCAGACATGCAATTTAACGATGATTTCATCCATCGGATAAAGAGAGGGCATTCTGCCATTTAGACATGGAGTTTGCATTAATGCTTGTTTTCATCAAACGTGAATGTTTTAATGCATGCAGTGTTGTCGTCTGCAGAGAATAAAAATGCTGCATGAGTTTACTTCCTCTGCCAATGCCTGTGGCCACAGCTCTATGTATAACCTTACAATTCAATTCAAAAATACTTTATTAATCCCAGAGGGAAATTAAATGTTGTTGTAGCTCATTTTCCTTGTTTCATAAAAGAGTTGTTCTAGATGTTGATGGTTGTGGGCAGGAAGGATCTCTTGTGATGGTCCGTCTTATAGCAGATCTGAAAAAACTGGCCACAGATGTTGATCCGTTTACTTGCACTTGGTTGGCCTCCTGGGCTTCAGGATCACCTGAACGTTGGGCAGAAATCCTCCCAGGGCAATGGCCACTCCTCCCAGCAGCTTGTTGAGCTCCTCATCGCTGCGGACAGACAACTGTAGGTGCTGATGGACGATCCTGTCCTTCCGCTGTCATGAGCCGTGTTTCCTGCTAGTTCCAGGATCTCAGTAGTCAGGCACTCGAGCACAACTGGCAGGTAGATGAAAATGCATCCACAGAACATCCTTTTCAACTCATTTGAAATTTAGGGCTGTAGTTGAGATATTACTTGAGCTTTTGAGGTGTTAATCAGCTGCTGTTGGTTGTAGAATCTGCCTTGTTGCCATGGTTACGCATCATAACAAATTTCCAAAACTAAAAAAGTTTCAGTAAAAATCCTTCCAGCTGCACAGCATCCGATACCAGAGGAAACAATCATCCAAAAAATGTGATTTACATCCAGAAAAAGAGGAATTAAAGTTTCCAAAAGCAAAATCTCAGAATGAAAGTAACAGAGCTGCTCCAACATGCAGCCACCTTGAGCGGCGCAATTCTACAACAGAAGTATACTGTATGTACACTGACTGTATGTAACCACAGCTGTACTCAAAACAGAAAGCAGTGTTTCCCCTACCATTATATATGCAGGGCTGATAAGTTCTGTTGACAGAACTTGTGTAACACTCCACCCTCCCCCCGTCGACAACTGCCAGCACTGACGTAGCGCTAAGCTAGCAGCACGCAATACTGATACTAGCTAAAAAGCTATGGCTATGGAGGTAGTGCTCTGGCTCGCTCATGCTGAGATGTCTCCTCCTACCCCTCCGTCAACAAAAATAACGGAAGATACGAGCGCCCTGCCATGGCAAGTAAACTAGTGGAAACATTGAGAAGGTGAAACAGAAGGTTTTGCATTTACTAAGAATCTTTTTAAAGAATAATATGGGCAAAATATTTACTGGACCTTTTGAAGCCTCTATGTCCCATCAGGACTTTATCTTCAAATCAAATGTTGCTGATAGTTCCGAGAACTTATTTGAAAACACGTGGCACAAGCATTCCAAGTGGTGGCCCCCAGGCTTTGGAACGCTCTCCCTCTGTCACTGCGCTGCTCAGATTCCATTGACTCTTTCAAAAATGATCTTAAGACTTATTTATTCAGACTGGCTTTTATTTAAATTTTATTTACTTTTACTTTGTGAAGCACTTTGTGATGTCATTGTCTGTGAAAGCTGCTATATAAATAAATATTACTTACTTACTAATATTTAATATTAAACACCAAATGATAAACTTTTGTGCTCGTCTACCGAAAAGTGAATGCTATGCAAATATCTGTAAACTGAAGTCAAGCTCATGGGAAGGTATCCATGGCTCAACAAGAGTAATGCATACTGCACATTATACATCCGTCAACAAACAGCAATACAGCAATCTACAGCAGTGACCCAAACAAGCAAAAACCTTGTATAAGATTTGACCTTGATTTGTGACCTTAACTTTAGAGCTGGGGTGATTAAAAGTGTGTGTTACATGTTGTCTAGTGGTTGAACAAATGTGTATCAAGTTTTGGTAAATTATCTTCAGAGCATCAGTAGTTATGGGTGAGACAAGCAAATATCTGGTTTTAACTTTGACCTTGATATGCGACTTTGACCTTGGGTGATGAAAAGTGCATGTGATGCTCCACCTAGTGATGATGCATAAGTGTATGAAGTTTAGTCAAATGAGTTTGAGCCGATCAGAAGCTATGGGCGGGTCAAGAGAACGTTTACAGACAGAGACTATCCTATACGTTCGATGGGCGAATAAAAAATGTTCACTCATGAGGCTAAAACGTGCTCGTCATTACATTCTGAAGTTACTTTACACACCAGATGAGTTTGAGATCAAAATAGATGTAGGAGCAGCAAGTTGATCTCACCTCTAGCATGCACTGTTTTGTATTAGAAATATAACTTACTCTTACTTTATTTCCCTTTGGGATTAATAAAGCATTTTTGAATTGAATTGAATTGTAACACGTTCATAAGTAGCTGACAGTTTTCATACAGTTTGACAGGGAACTTACAGCAGGGCGCCCAGGACGAGATGAGGTTCGAGATTCTCCCGGCTTGTGGCGACCTTCATGGGAGAGAACGGGTGAATCCATTTTGGAGGAACCTGAAAAATAAAATCATAAAGTGATGATTTAATTCTGAAATCAAACTTCCTGTAAAGACCATCTACACTGGAACGAGGGCTCACTGAGGATACGGTGCCTCTCCAGGGAACCCGTCTGGGGAAGATTGGAAATTATGTTTATGCTGTCTCCTCGTTCCCAGCGATCGTTGCGGCTAAGATCTGGATTGCTGTCACGAGGAAACAAACATGTCAAGATGTTGTGACCACTAATCACAGTTTAAAATATGAATTATACGATTCAAACTATTGGCCGTGTTCAGTACCTGGCTCTTACTGGATGTCTGATGCCAGAGGTAAGGTTGGTGTTGAGAGCTGTGGCAATAGATGCAGTCCTCTGAGGAATCTAAGAACACCAATATTATGTAATTAAATTAGCAGAAAGAAAAAGCCTAGAGGAACTTCATTTTCGTTTTCCAAAGAAAGTTGTATTGTCATTCAATAGGGTGATCTTTTGTATTGTTCGTGGCTCCTTTAAAACCAGCCACCGGATCTTTACCTTAGGTGGGAGCTCAACATCTGGCAGGCGAATCCAAGGGCCACGATCCTCCCTCATCTGATGCCCCTGTGGTCCTGGGGTTTCAGAAGTGGGGTCCGAGTTCTGGCGCACAAGCTCCCTGGAATGGGTGGGGCGGGGTGTGGGGTTGAGGGAGGGATCCTGGGTGGGGAAGGCGGACATGTTCTTAGTGGGCTGGTCACAGAGGGACTGAGAGCGAGGGACAGGGGCAGCGTAAGGCTTCAGAGGAACCAAGTGAGCCATCTGGAACTGCAGAGGAGCAGGAGCGCACCAGGAGGGAAGAGGAGCCGAGTGGGAGGAAGAGCGCACAAGACAGTTGGAGAAGTAGGCCAAAGTCCAGAAGGATGATAAAATAAACCAAAGTGTATTGTTTAGTTTTTCCAAGTATCACAAAAGTAAAAACAGAAAAATGGAAAAGAACAAGGGAGAAAATAAGAGAAGATTGAATAAATAAACAGGATGGTCAAAAGTCGAAGCAGTTAAAGCGTTAAGGGACAAAGGCATCAGCACTTGCAGGTTCTGGTTAGTTTTCCCTGAACTACATTTTAAACTCCTGGAAACACCCACCTTCCCCTGACCCCCTTGGGGCTCAACTGGTCTCTGCATTGGTGGGGTCTGCGCAGACTGGACCATTCCCGACTGGCTGATGGAGTCCGAGCGTGACTGTATGGCGGTGTCAGAAACAGTCGTGCAGATTTTGGGGGAACCCTGTCTGTTAAGCTTACTCCGCTCCTCCACCTGGAGTAAGAACAATGGAAAAGTGGATGTAGCTTGTCTACAGCAGATGAGGTTTTAAATGCTGCTACACCGTTACCTCACGGGCCCAGGTAGGTTTGTTGTTGGGCTCAAGGTTTTTGTTATAATGGTAAAGCTGGGGCTTCTTTTCTTGCTGCTGCTGTTGCAGAGACACCAGGTAGGCATGCTCCTGCTGCAGCTGCCTCTGCAGCCGCTCTGACTGACGCTGCTCCTCAAGCTGTTTGCGTTTATACTCCTGGGGAAAGAAACACACCACAGTGATAAAAGTACTCGCTTCAGACAAAAACCAACATACAGACACAGATACATGTGTTAGTACCCTTACAGCTAATTTAAACAATGCTTTATTTCCTGTGTAAAGTGCTTAAATTAAAAGCAATTGTCTGATGTAAAGTATATCTGAATGCTAATTTGTTGGTACCCTTAAAAAGACTATTGACTATTTGAATATCTTTTAAACCAAGTGTTTAAAAGATCACAGGTGGCTTTGAGGTTGTTGTTGTTTTGATAAATCAGCCATTTAGTCTATTTAAAGGGAACAAACAGCCACTGGGTAGTTTCGTATGGTTAAGTGCACTGAACATAGAGCAGAGAAAACAAACAAACAAAAAAAAATAGATATCCATGCTCAACATAAAGGCTACAAAACCATCTCCAAGTAACTTCATGTTCCTATGGCCACCATCTCCAATATTAATAAAAAAGCATATGTCCTGATGCATGCTCAATAATCCAGGTAGAAAAATCCAAAAAAGTTCAATCTGGTCCTCTGGACATTCAAAAAAACAAAAGCAAAACAAAGCAAAAAAAAAAAAAAATCTAGAAACGTTTCGTCTCTCATCCAAGAGACTTCCTCAGTCTGAGGTGCTGTTTTCAGCTCAGTCTCTTAAATAGCACCTTCTTAGAGTGGATCAACCAGTTTGCTGCTGACAACCAAAACCAGCTGATCACATGCTCAAGAAAAAAGCATATGGTTCATAAGACTGAAGCCAACCTCCCAGGACATGGAAACAAGAGGAAATACAGCCCCAGGTTGATCAGTCTAATAATGCAAATGGTAGAAAAAGGGCCAAGGAAACCATCCAAAACCATTTAAGCTGAACTCAAAAGTCAAGGAACATCACTTTCTGATAGCACTAATCAACTATGTTTTTAATAATAATGGGCACCACGGAAGAAGACCCAGGAGGGATCCACTATTTACAGCAAAACACAAAAAATCCATACCAAAACTTACCAAAATGCAAGTTGACAAACTTCAAAGTATTTGGGACAAGTTTCTGAGACTGAAGAGACAATGTATGTAAACATGGATTTAGGTAAACTACAGGTAAAGCTTAGTTTCACTGATATCAATCTCTATTGATCGCATTTGTTGCATCACATTTTTATGTTACATTTAAGATAACATGGATGACCTATTAGTTTTTCGCTGGGAGTTGTAGACAAAGCCACTATTTGCCACAACAACAACAACAAAAACGCATTAAGAATAAGTTCAAGTTAAAATATGTCACCACAATAAAGACTTGACTTCAAACTAATCTTAACAGCAGAGTTTAGCTAAAGCAGCTCTCCAAATGAGGTGTACATTTATATATTTACAGAGCAGAACTGTTTAACCACTGGTACATGTATTGTTGTGGGAAAAAAAAAAACTTTATAGATCTATCAGTCTTTCTATATCTATTTATATCCATCCATAGCTACATCAATATATCTCTCTCTATATATATATGATTTACATACCTACCTATAGCTAGCTACAGTGCCTTGCGAAAGTATTGGGCCCCCTTGAACTTTTCAACCTTTTGCCACATTTCGGGCTTCAAACATAAAGATATAAAAGTGGGACACAATTGTGAAGTGGAATGAAATTTATTGGATGTGTCAAACTTTTTTAACAAATAAAAAACTGAAAAGTGGGGCGTGCAATATTATTCGGCCCCTTTACTTTCAGTGCAGCAAACTCACTCCAGAAGTTCAGTGAGGATCTATGAATGATCCAATGATGTCCCAAATGACTGATGATGATGAATAGAATCCACCTGTGTGTAATCAAGTCTCTGTATAAATGCACCTGCTCTGTGATAGTCTCAGGGTTCTGTTCAAAGCACAGAGAGCATCATGAAGACCAAGGAACACACCAGGCAGGTCTGAGATACTGTTGTGGAGAAGTTTAAAGCTGGATTTGGATAGAAAAAGATTTCCCAAGCTTTAAACATCCCAAGGAGCACTGTGCAAGCAATCATATAGAAATGGAAGGAGTATCAGACCACTGCAAATCTACCAAGACCCAGCCGTCCCTCTAAACTTTCATCTTGAACAAGGAGAAGACTGATCAGAGATGCAGCCAAGAGGCCCATGATCACTCTGGATGAACTGCAGAGATCTACAGCTGAGGTGGGAGAGTCTGTCCATAGGACAACAATCAGTCGTACACAGCACAAATCTGGCCTTTATGGAAGAGTGGCAAGAAGACAGACATTTCTCAAAGATATCCATAAAAAGTGTTGTTTAAAGTTTGCCACAAGCACCTGGGAGACACCAAACATGTGGAAGAAGGTGCTCTGGTCACATGAAACCAAAATCCAACTGTTGGCCACAATGCAAAACGATATGTTTGACGTAAAAGCAACACAGCTCATCACCCTGAACACACCATCCCCACTGTCAAACATGGTGGTGGCAGCATCATGGTTTGGGCCTGCTTTTCATCAGCAGGGACAGGGAAGATGGTCAGAATTGATGGGAAGATGGATGGGGCCAAATACAGGACCATTCTGGAAGAAAACCTGTTTGAGTCTGCAAGAGACCCAAGACTGGGACGGAGATTTATCTTCCAACAAGACAATGATCCAAAACATAAAGCCAAATCTACAATGGAATGGTTCACAAATAAACGTATCCAGGTGTTGGAATGGCCAAGTCAAAGTCCAGACCTGAATACAATCAAGAATCTGTGGAAAGAGCTGAAGACTGCTGTTCACAAACGCTCTCCATCCAACCTCACTGAGCTCGAGCTGTTTTGTAAGAAAGAATGGGCAAGAATTTCAGTGACTCCATGTGCAAACCTGATAGAGACATACCCCAAGAGACTTGCAGCTGGAACTGCAGCTAAAGGCGGCGCTACAAAGTATTAACGCAAGGGAGCCCAATAATATTGCACGCCCCACTTTTCAGTTTTTTATTTGTTAAAAAAGTTTGACGCATCCAATAAATTTCATTCCACTTCACGATTGCGTCCCACTTGTTGTTGATTCTTCACAAAAAATTCAAATTTTATATCTTTATGTTTGAAGCCTGAAATGTGGCAAAAGGTTGAAAAGTTCAAGGGGGCCGAATACTTTCACAAGACACTGTATAGCAAATCTACATCTATATATTTATCTGCCTCTTTCTATATTCATCCATCTATAAATACAAACATCTATCAAATATATATTTTATATACTTTATATATATATATATATATATATATATATATATATATATATATATATATATATATATATATACAGATATATCATATCTGTATCAAATTATATCTATATCTAGCTATATCTATATAGATACATGTATATTGTTTTAGGATGGGTGTTGTGGATTTTACTGAATGGGAAACAAAAAAGTTCCTATAAATATTTGTATATGGTGACACAGATGCATAATCATGTCTTGTCATTTCTCATCTCTCATGTTTTTGGCATATAGTCTGAACTAAAACAAATGAGTTTGCTCTTAATGGAAGCAAGTCCTAAGTATGACAGGAGGACACTTGAAGCAAAGACGTGGTGATTCTATTTTTTAAATGAAGCGAGATTTACTTCAACACTGAAACTGGCCAACTCCTGTCCCCCCACTACTAAAAATCTAGGTCACTGGATGCCTTTTCAAGATAGGCACTATTACAAGAGCTGTAATCATACTTTGTAACATCGAGCTCATCAAATCCTCTTATCAACATTTATCACTGCTTACTCAAGATTGTTAGCTTCGACAGAAATGGAGGCAAGTCATATAAACAGGAAGTGCATTTCGATTTCATTTATTGGAGACTAGGGAAGGTCTGCAAACAAAACAAGAACTGATTAGTTACCATAAGCAGTGCCTGCTCCTGAAGCAACTGCTGCTGAAGGATTTCTAACTGCCGCTGCTCCTCCTCTAACTTGTGTCTTATAAACTCCTGCAGCAAGATAAGGAGGCAGGGAGGAGGATTTAGGCAGCAATAAACAAGAAATGAAACATTATTAGGGAGAGGTAGAAAGTAGACACATGTAATGGTTGTCTTTAAGAGAAACCGTGCTGTATTGATTAAAATCAGGTAAATTTTCAATTAATTTAGGTAGAAAAACATGTATCAAGTCTGTTTAGAATAAATGGTAAGAAGAGAAAAAGAATGTTACAATTAACATAATAATAAACACCGCATAGACATTTTAATGAATTCTAGAAATAAATAGTGAAAGCACAGGCTGACTGCTGTGATGCATTTATAAATCCCCTTTCTAGCCTTAAAAGGTGATCTGATGCCAAACTGATTCTGCTGAGGATAGACTGGAAACGTAGCACAAGAGACGCAGAGAGCTCACCCACTGAAAGCTCATCTCTACGTAAACACACTAATTTAGACTCTTGCTGCTATGGCAACCAACTCGTGGAATTTCACCACCAGAGCAACTTGGCTGGTGGAAACGCCAACACTTTGTGCTGATTGGCCGACAGCAGCTCTGCACATCCTGCAGTTGGTTACCTGCTCCCTCTCCGCCAGCCTTCTGTCTTCCTCTCGTCTCATATCGTCAAGTCTCCGATGGGGACCTTTTTCTTGCTGCCTCACCATCTCTGCTGCAGCTTTTCTCTGTTGCTGGGAGAGAGAGGGGGGACAGGAAACGGAGAAATGAGCATAGACACAGTGCTTGTGCAGAGGAATTAGCCTGCTTGAGAGTAAATTCTCCCACGAAAAGAGCTGGAGAAAAGGGAGCAGAAGAACAGTATAGACCAGTTAGAGTTTGTTTTTGTAAATCGCTCAAAGAAAAACACACATTTTACATTTTGTGTGCATGCGGGAGCTGCAAACTTAATCCTTGAAAGGTGTTATGGGGAGGGGGATCTGCCACACTTGAACTTTTGTCTGCGTTTTTATTTAGGTGCAGTTTTAGTACACGCTTTTCTGATAAAGCAAAAAAATTATTCTATATTTTATTTAACTCTTTAGTGTTTCTTCAGGGGAAAAAAGAACCATAAAGGAAAAATTTACTGGGACAGACTTCAACTTGGCCTGGAAGAAGTACGTCTTTACAGACTGGACATTGCTGTTGAGTTCTGCCCCTCATCTCGTCCAACACTATTGTTTTAGTTTCAATGCAAAGAGCAAAAACACACTTGCATGTTGCACAAGTAAACATTTAGTACAAAAAAGCCACACATGCATGCAGGCTGCAGAATCAGATGCTCCATGGCTCAGAATGGCTGACTCCCATTGGCTTGACTGAAATCAGGACATCAGTAGCGGATGCACCGTGCTGCTGTAGCTGGTAAGATATCCGAGTCAGTAAAAGCAAAAAAAGAAATAGAAACTGGCATTGTGCATTAGTAGAATTTTAGAAAAAATAAAAATAAATTGGATAAAAAATTTTTAAAATCCATGTCGAACCAATGAAAATCACAAACACTAAGTTTGTCTGAAAACAAGGAATCATTTTCAGCTACAACATCTGGAGGGTTTGGGTCACAAAACTCCGGATTGCAATTTTTAGAAAATTGTCACAAAATATGTTGGGGGAATTTATGTAAAGGTCATGGATGTTATCACTTACAAATGTTAAATTAATGTAGCTCCATGCGTGTGAGGTCAAGAGTATTTTTGTCTACTCAGAGATGAGTCTGCATAACTGATAACTTCTGACGCCTTCGGATCTGTGAGCTGTGAAGCAGAGGTTGTGTTGACCTCGCCTCTGTCTGATAAGCATTATAAGTACACACTTCTTTATGCAGTCTGTGGGCAGACCTTGTGACCGGAGCTCCATGTAACAACTTTCTAAGCCTGTTTTCAAATCTGTGCCCCTTGCAAGGAGTAAAACTAGGTTTTCTTGGATCCTCGGTGGCTTATTTGATTAATGAGATGATGAAAGAGTAATAAATTTATCCAACAAAATCCTTTAGTGTGTATTAATGAGGAAAATTTTATTTTTGATTGACAATAAATATTTTGTCGATCAAGAAAAAAAAACGAAAAGTGATTTTTTTTTTTTTTTAAGCCAAGGCCCTGAAAGAGATGAACATTTTGAAACAGTTATTTAAAGTTTAAATCTTAATTTCAGACTGAGATTCACAATTATTTTTGTGGAAATGTATTTTTAAGCAGATAAATAAGGTGGTCTATTTTTAACTTGTTATTTTTTATGTATTTAAATTTATTTGATAGGGACTGATGAACAATAACATCGACAAACTGAATAAAACAGCAGTCTCATGGTGCTTGGTGCAAAAAAAATCATCTTTATGACTTTTTATAACTGTTTACTGTTGTCGCTGTTGTCCAATGTTGTCATCATTCTTTGTTGAAATCAGGTCTCTCTTGTAAATGAGTCCTTGAGGCTCAATGGGATTTACCTGTCTAAATAAAGGCTGAATGAATGCTTATAGCGTGAGCTAATTTGCAGCACTTGTCCCTAGATGGGCTTTTATACACAAGATATCTAAAATAATAACTAACTTAACGGACACGGTCTAAGTTTAAGGAACTTCAAGGGATTAAAGGAAGTTTCTCACTTTTGGCAAGAAGCGGTCTACTTTAATATTGGTCATTAACGTATACAAGTGAAATGAAGCCCTCTGAATTGGCACCAAAGAGTTTTTTTACTCAGCTGTTTGTTTTTATTGTTGCACAAAAGAGCCAATAAAGACAGAGCAAGACGTCGAGGTAGATGAAGGCTGTGCTTCACTGCAGTTTAATAAATTATTGCACCATACTTAGAGCAACTATAAAAGTGCAGATATGTATGCCACTTTTAAATCCCCATTATCTTCTCAAAGATTTCACAGCTGCTGACATTTTGCTGGCAGCCCACCAATTAGCCGAGCTACGTAGGTTTGTCTTTCAAACTCGATTTTTATGAGTAATGTCCAACATAACGTTCTGCTCAATAACTACATGTCAACTTGAAATCAAGTCCAGATTTTATGCAGAGAAGACTGCATGCTCATGCAGAAGGTTTCAACAATCTGTCACCTGCTACAATATTTAATCAATACATGTACTTCTGGATACACTGAATGCATCACACTTCTGAAGGAAAACGGTTCAGCTGCATTAAATAAACCATGGAGGGATAAGAGAATCACATTTGACAAGTGATTAAGATCTCAGTTGGACATTTGTTTCTGCAGGAGCCTTTTACCTATAAATGTCAAACTTGGTCATGTCTTGGTTTCACACTTCCTCCAGCTGAAGTGTAATAGTTTGTATACCTCTGCAGGTGCATGGCAGCTGAACACAAATATCTCGCAGAGCTGGTTTAAACCTGTTCACAGACAGATAAGCTTTGTTGGCTGAGAGAAGGCCCAAAACCACAGCCACTAATACTTAATTCTCAAAAATATTAAAATAAATAAAAACTTATTTTTCCCACAGTAATTTTAGAAATGTATAGACATTTACTGCACTCCTAAAAAACAGTCATCTCACTTGATTTTTCTTTATTTATAGTTGAATTCATCATTGTTATAGGAACTCAACTTTGAAATATTCTATTAAATTTATTTATTCAACGAAAAATTGTACTCCTGTCTGTCAGTTAAAAGGTTTCCAAATTCCTACAGTGGAACCATCTACTGTAAATCTTCCTACTACACTTCACTTCGTGAACTTTTTGCCACTCGTGTTTGTTGCTTCTGAATTCAACGTGACCAAATCAAAACTAGTACCAACTGATACTAAAACAAATCATAAATGTTATAAAAACACAAGTCTTGGTGTCATCATTGGAGATAAAATTAAAACAAAAAAGCAGCAATTACTTCAACTACTGAATCATAAAAACTGTATACATTCAAAGTTTCCTTATAAATTGAGTTTTGCAAATAGGCAGAGTTACTCAAGTACTGCACAAAGCTTCACTTATATGCATTAAGGGTAATTATGGGATTAAATCTAAGACAGCACCACAGTGGGATTTAATTGTAAATATTCCATACTCAAATAAACATGAAATTAATTTTTAAACACATCAACTTTTTATACATCAGTTTGTGTATCTTCTTTTACTAATATACAGTAATTAATGTAAGTATCTTGCTTTGGTTTTTTTTTGTTTTTTTTATCTGACCTTTTACCTCCCTAGTGTGCAGAAGGATTTTCATCAAATTAATTACATGTTTTATAAACTGGTTTCAAAAAACTGATGAAAACTTAAAATAATGTATTAACAAAATAAAATTTTCAGTTTCATAGAACTCAGTAGAAAATAAAAAAAAGTCTGGTGCTCATTGATTTGTGAGGATGAAGTTGTCTAATTTGTGCAAAAAATCCAACTTCAAATGTTAAAAAGTTGTTACAGTTTTACAGGCGTTACCTCTTCAAGTCGACGGCGCTGCTCCTTCTGCTCCTCGATGCGTTTCTGGCGGTCATGCAGCAGCTGCCTCTTGTGCTCCTCAGGGTCCCGGCGCTGAGCTGCCAGTTGGGCCTGCTGCCTCTTGTGAGCCTCGGAGCGCTCTTTGTTTTCCTGCTGCAGCCGCTGGAAGTCTCGTCTCAATGTGGACTCGCCGGGCACATTGAGGATCGAACTGTTGATCGAAATTAGCAAATGTGAATGGACGAAGGATAAAAATAAAAACAACAACAAAGTTTTTAGGGTATTTGAAACGACAGTTAGTTGCAATTACCTTGACTCTCTATCATCACCACGGTTTTCATCCTCTTCATCGCTCCCACTGTACTCATACTCAGTCTCTTCTACAGACGGAATGAAGTGAAAACTAAATATTACAAGAATATTCTTAAATCATCCATTTGCATTTGATTAAAAAGTAGCTAAAGTTACACTCAATAGGTGATTCCAACTCGTTTACCTTTTTCCCCCCTCTTCTTGCGCGTTCGGTCAATGTGGTCTTTGAGCTGAATTCGGACCTGCCGCTCCGTGGGCTGGTCTCTGATGAAGGAATGCTTCAGCAGCTGCTCTGTGGATGGTCGGCTGTGGTACGTCTTGACAAGACAGCCTTCTATGAAGTCAATAAACTTCTTGGACCTAGGAGGAAGGGGAAGGACGATAAACTTCAAGGGGACAAAGGGAGTGGCAGGAGGCATGAAGACAGCAGAGAACAATCCTGATTCAACAAACTTCAGAGCATCAAAGACATCTCTCTTTATGTACTTATTGCAGCTTTGCAGGAAAAAAAAACTTTAGGAAAAAAAGCAAATAGCTGCAATTAACTCATCAATAAAGAGACGGTTTTAAAAAAATCTAAGAAACTACAATCCAATACATTTTCATTGAAATTGCAACTAAACTGTTTAGGCAAAAACAATACCTAAATGAATTAACTCAACAGCACCAATGTGGATAAATACCATTGTTTAACAAGTTTACTACACACAGCACCTTATCCGCTGTCAAAAAACTTTTATACAGTAATATAGCAAGCTATAGCAGTGGCACAGACAAACAAAAAGACCTCGTTTAAACTTTGACCTTGATTTGTGACCTTGACCTTGAAGCTAGATTGATGAAAAGTGTGTGCAACCCAACTAGTGATAATGCATACGAGTATCAAGTTTAATTAACTTAATTTAATTACAAACTTGATTCCAAAAAAGTTGGGACACTAAACAAATTGTGAATAAAAACTGAATGCAATGATGTGGAGGTGCCAACATCTAATATTTTATTCAGAATAGAACACAAATCACAGATCAAAAGTTTAAACTGAGAGAATGTATCATTTTAAGGGAAAAATCTGTTGTTTCCAAATTACATGGCGTCAACAAATCCCAAAAAAGTTGGGACAAGTCCATTTTTACCACTGTGTGGCATCCCCCCTTCTTCTTACAACACTCAACAGACGTCTGGGGACAGAGGAGACCAGTTTCTCCAGTTTAGAAATAGGAATGCTCTCCCATTCATGTCTAATACAGGCCTCTAACTGTTCAATCGTCTTGGGCCTTCTTTGTCGCACCTTCCTCTTTATGATGCGCCAAATGTTCTCTATAGGTGAAAGATCTGGACTGCAGGCTGGCCATTTCAGTTCCCGGATCCTTCTCCTACGTAGCCATGATGTTGTGATAGCTGCAGAATGTGGTCTGGCATTATCGTGTTGAAAAATGCAGGGTCTTCCCTGAAAGAGATGACGTCTAGATGGGAGCATATGTTGTTCTAGAACCTGAACATAGTTCTCTGCATTAATGGTGCCTTTCCAGACATGCAAGCTGCCCATGTCACAAGCGCTCATGCAACCCCATACCATCAGTGATGCAGGCTTCTGAATGGAGCGTTGATAACAACTTGGGCTATCCTTGTCCTCTCTGGTCCGGATGACATGGCGTCCCAGTGTTCCATAAAGAACTTCAAATCGTGACTCATCTGACCACAGAACAGTTTTCTATTTTGCCACACTCCATTTTAAATGACCCCTGGCCCAGTGCAAACGTCTGAGCTTGTGGAGCTTGCTTAGAAATGGCTTCCTCTTTGCACTGTAGAGTTTCAGCTGGCAACGGCAGATGGCACGGTGGATTGTGTTCACTGACAATGCTTTCTGGAAGTATTCCTGAGCCCATTCTGTTATTTCCTTGACAGTGGCATTCCTGTGCAAAACATTTTGACTAAATGATGTGTATACAATTAAAACTTGAAATGAGAAGATGCTATTGGAGTCTGGATGTCAAGTTTACCAAATGAGTCTATGAGAAGTAGGTAAAAGGAGCTGGAGGTTTGGACAAAGAACGCAACAAATTTAGATTTTTGCCCATATTCAGCAACATATCTTGATATTTCTTGCAAAAATCCGCATTGTTTCCATGCAGTGCTGTTCTCAAATGTTTTATATTTGCCGTTAGCCGCTCTTTTGTTGCACTGCAGACAATGCCGTGCTGCACCTTGTGCCCTCTTGCAGTTTTCCCCCCTCCTTCCCCAACATTGTAGATCACATTCATTTCCCGCATTAACTTTATTTCAAAGCAAACACGTGAATCAAGAAATGCTTACAGTGAGGCAGTTAACTGATTAAATCTTACATTCTTCCACGCTGAAATTTATTCTCGATTGGTTTGCAGCTCAGACAGAATTGGTTTGCAGCACACAGTTCAAGGCAATTCAAGAAAGGCTGCAAGATGGTTGCTCACTTACCATTTCTTGGATTTAAGTTTTGGAGGCGGGTTCCTGGGAATCAGGAACAGGGCTCTCATTGGGTGCATGTCACACAGAGCTACAGAAACAAAGAAGATTAGGAGTTAAATCCTCCTCCTAATGCTGAAAGCTAAGGAACAAAATTAAGAGCATATCAGATTTTGTTAGATAATTTCCACCTCTGTGGAGTATGTAAATCCAAGGCACCATTATTTTATTTTTACTTTACTTTTTGTTTGCTGAAACAAGGTTACAGCTGTTGTTATTCTATCTTTCCCCGTGCCCCAGGCTTATTGTTGGAATGAATGTAAAAGCGAAGACTGTGAGTCACTGTGTTCTTAGTGTAGGTAGGTAGCTAAACCTGACTGGTTAGCTTTGGAGTTTCACAGTAAATAGACTTTCATAGCACAGGCCTTTGGACACAAGCAAGAGGATTTTTTTTTTTTATTCCGGCTTTTACAGGCCCACATTAAACCTTAAGAAACAGCCAAACTTAACATGTGCTTCACATGACCTACAAATATTTTTAAGCATTGATCAGCTCTGATCATTTCCTGTCTGTGCAGTTTCGTCTCATGTAGCGTTTTATACGAACCTGGAGAAAACTGTTATGTTCGTTTCGTCAACAGTACAGAGTTTACAGCGCAGTATATAAAGGATTAATATATTTAATGCGTCACACTGAAAACCAAACGAAAAATAAATTTAATGTTGGAAATTGCAAACTGAATTCTCAAGTGTGTCAAAAGAAGATTAATAATTCATACGTTTAAAAATAAACCAGAAATCAACACTTCACCACGTGGTCCATCTCTTACATACAGTAAGCTCGACTGTGAGGCAAAATGATGAATCTCAGTTATGGTCACGTAAGTGACAAATATTTTATGCAATAAACTCTTGCTGTAAATGTTGAAGAATATATATATTTTTTTATCATTATTAAAAATAAATAAATAATAAAAATCTCAAGTTAGCAAGCTAACGTTTAAATAACCAAGCATACCTTAGAAAACTTAGCCAGAACAATAAATCTAATGTAGAGATAAATATATATCAGTGTAAATACAACATTTATCTTTGTTGTCCTCAATGAAATGCATTGCTTGTCTGAAATCTTAACTTCTCTGTAAAATAAAATGAATAAAAAAACACCGCTGCCATCAATACTAACTAGGCCTTCACCATACATGACTGACTGCTTAAACAATGAACAGGGAAGGGGGTTTCTTTGTTTGATTTATATTTTTGTAACACGCTTAACTTTATGGTGGAGGACAGAAAATGTGAACGCACATTAGGAAGACTGTTTCAAGACTTCAAGTGTTAAACAACAGGTTTAAAAGTAGTTGTTTTCTTAGATTCTTGGGGGTACACAAAGCTAAAATATATTCAGCCATTATCGGCGTTAGCCTGCCCCTCCCAATATCGGCAACAGCGATTGCCAAAATTTCCATATTGGTCGGGCTCTAGTATGAAGTTTTGTTAAATTATTTTGAGAAGATTAGAAGTTATAAGCAAGACAAGAGAAGTTTACAACATACGGAAATTATCCTAGAATACATCCACCTTTCAACAGGCATATAATAAAAAGGGAATCAGAAAAACAATTTCCCTAACTAAAAAATGAGAAAAAGAAAGCGTTAAGATAAATGTTAATATGATGTCATTGGTTGTTAAGTTTAGCAATATTTGGGATGAGAAATATTTTATTAGTAAGAAATATTAAGAAACAAATACAGCCAACTTTAGATATGTTGTTTTGATTGATCAACTGACGAATCAGCACAACTATCAGAAAAAAACAAATCTAAAGGCAGGAACTATTTTCTTTCCAAAAGCTTCCTTCAGTAATCAGATGGAGTAAGACATCCTGCATAATTTATAACATAACACCAACAGCAGCTTGACAGCCCGCCTGTAAACCTCACTGAACAGCAGCAGTCTGAAGACGCACTGTGGTCTCCATCAGTGATGTGAAAAAGACTTTCAGAAATGTACAATTAACTACACAAATATATTTTTCAAAGAAGAAAAACTTAATTTAACCAAAAACTTGATCAACCAAAGACACCTTCCAATCAGAGACATACAAATATTTGGACTCTAAATTTTAGCCAAAACATAGAAGTATAGTCAAATTAATTACATAACAAAGCTTATCTGCTTTAATCCATTTAAAAAAAATTACATGTGCATTAGATATAATTGTACTATTGCTTCAAAACTTTTTATTAAAGGGTGCACTTTTTTTTCCTCTCAGTAATGAAGATTAGAGTTTGGATCAGATTCCAGTTATGGCACTTGGAGCTGGAGCTAAAAATAAACAAAATGTTGCCAAGGAAGTAAAAAAAAAACACACACACAAAAAAAAACATTAAATATTCAACTACTGGTACATGAAACACAATCAGCAGAAGATAAATGTTTTTTTTTCCCCCCCAAAGAGAATAATAAAAAAAAAATGGTGGTAACCTCAAGGTGCAACCCATTCATAATCATAAAGAGATATAAAGCTTTAGAGTCACACAAAGCTAGTTGGGCAAAGCTTTACAGAACAATCAAACAGGGATCACAAAACACACAATGAGAAAGTCCCAGGAGCTCTTTAGAAACTTCAGCTGTGACAAACTCAATTACCTGATCTCAGAGCTGCACTGACACCTGCAGCAGCTAAAAACACAAAGGCTGACAACTCTACGTGCAACCTTCGCAGGAAACGCCTAACAAAGCAACTTAAAAAGGAAAACTTTTATTTTTTTAACTAAGGCAACAAATACGAGCTCCTAATCTAGGAACCTGTATATGAAAACGTTTGCATTATCCAAGTCTTACAGTCTTTATATCTGTACTTCCAATTAAATTGTAATTGCTTAGTTTCCAAGCTTCTGTGGTTTAACTGTAATACTTTATTTTAAAGGGTAAGGGTCCTGTTTAGCTAACCAAAGCAGCCTTGTGTACATTTTGTGTGATTTTAGATTTTGTATCCAAAAACAAAACCAGATTTTACAGTAAACTCCTTAAAGCTGGTATGGAAGGTGGACAACATTCAAACTGTTCATACGCATCAGTTAAAGGAAAGCAACTATTGGTCAAACATCTTGTAGCACACAATAAGCTGCTGGTATTAAGCCTCTTTTATACCCGGACATTCTCTGCAGAAACAGGTCAACAGATTTTCATCGATTCTTTGGATTTGCAGCAGATCTCCAGGCAGACAGATCTTCCAATGAAGCAGAAAGAAAGCTGCCAGCCGCCAACTCACAACTACACTATCTTAATTACAGTGACTCAGCTGTCCATCTGAAGACACAGACAACAAAGCTGCACTCATTCATTAGGTCTTTAGGACTGATGATGGGAAATCAACCATTTCTGAGTGGACAGAAGCGTCTCATTAAACATGAAGCAGGAGAAAAGGTCATGCAACAGGAAGTGAACACTTACGAGGAGCTCCCTCTGCCATCTCTATGGCTGTTATTCCCAAAGACCAAATATCACTCTGTAAAGCAGACGGGAAAGTTTCAGTCATTTGCTCGTACAGCTTTGTGCACACGTACACTCAAACGCAGCATGCGGCAGTTACCCTGAAGTCGTAGGTGGAGTCTGGGTTCTCATCACAGGCAATGACCTCAGGTGCCATCCAGTAAGGAGTACCGATGAAAGTGTTCCTGCGTCCGACAGTCCGATCCAACTGAGCACTCACGCCAAAATCAACTGTGGGGGAAAAAAATAGATCAGAGGAGGAAAAAAAGTGTGAGGAATATTATAAACAGACAAAATTCAGCAAAACTCAGCATTTTCAATCTGCATACCAAGCTTGACCTCTGCATTTTCCGTCAGCAGTACGTTCTGGCCTTTGATGTCTCGGTGGATAACTTTATGGGCGTGAAGGTGAGAAAGGCCCTGTTCACAGACAAAGAAGTCAACTCTGGTCAGTGAATAGCGAGCTTCAGCTGCATAATTGATTTGATGGGTGCAACTACAATTTCCCACCCTTAGGATCTCCCTGCAGATGTAAGCAATCCAGTCCTCCTTCAGGGAGCTGCCTTTGGTGTTTTTCACCAGGTCGGTCACGGATCCTGCTCCACAGAACTCCATTACCAGCTGTGCACAGACAAACACAAACTCAGTGACTGTGATTAAAAGGGAATGCTTATATAATGAACCAGATAAAACAATGAACAGACCCAAAGTTGGTCATCGTGTCCTGGTGGGCTCTTCTTCACAAAGGCACCGTAGTACGTGGCTATGTTGCGGTGGTGACTGTACTTCTTCAGCATGTTGATCTCTGCTTTGATCTCCTCCTCCTCCTCTTCTGTAACATCCATCACTTTGATGGCAGCCAGTTGGCCTGTCTTCACGTGACGGCCCTGATTAAAGAACAAGTTGAATCTTTGTAACATTCACTAAAATAAAAGTTGCCCTCCATGTTTCTAAAAATCTAAGGTCTTTACTAATTAAGTGTAGCTAATTGCTCTCACGCTTTCTTTCTGAAGCTTCTCATCATTTAGTCTCAACTGCCTAAATCTCATAATCCAGATGGTTGAAATTTCTACTGACACAGCAATAAGCTAATGTAGTCTGAGAAATTAATGTGCAAACCTTTGAACAAAAAACAGACCCTATAATGGGCTTTGTACATATCCCAGCTTCTTAAAAGGAGACGTGCTGAATATAGCCACACATAGAGGTCAGGACTGAACTGGATGTAATGTAGACATCATGGCTCACCTTGTAAACCTGCCCATATGTCCCATTGCCAACAACCTCGACCAGCTCAAAGATCCCCGCTGGATCCTGGAGGAGAGAGAGATTCATGTCTCATTCAGCAAATGGAGCGAGTTCAGAAAAATTTGCACATGAAACTAATTAGAAACATCTCAATACGTTTACAACCCTGCTTTAAAAAAAATAATAAAGCACACTTTAAAAAGTTTAAATAAATAAGATTAACTCAAAGCATATGTTTATTTTTAATTGTAAGTGGGTGATGCTCGCTTTGTTTAGCTCCAATTTTTTCACATTTACTCTTTAATGAAGCGGGGGTTGCATCGTTTTGTTACTTTCAAGATTCTCCAGTTAAAACGTCACACTTATGGTAAATAGTAAAAGACCTGCTTTTGAAAGTGCTGCAGTCTGACTACATTGTATTGTACAAAGACTTAATAATTCTCAAAACAAAATACCAAGGAAGAGAAAAAAGCAGGTCTAAAAACACTTTTTTTCTCTCATTACAATTTTTAAAGCCCGTGTTTAACATTTATTGCAACATGTTCCTTGACATCCAGTCCACACAGAATACAAACTTCCTCTAATATACATCAAAAAGACAAAGTTGCCATCACTTTAACAAATGGTGTTACAGAAGACCATATTTTATAATAACTGTTCATTTAAAGTTGCTGTTATCTTTTCCATATCGTTTAAGACGGGTGGATGAGGCCTGAACCAGTTTGGGTTGTCAATATAGATGCTGATCTATGCTCTGACTGGCATCAAATACAGAGAGAAGTGACACCAACGATCAAAAACTTAAATCCACTCGATCAAATCTGAGCCGAGATGACACCAAAGCTCAACCATCCTTCTGATCCAAACAGGAGCCCTTCATTTAGTAGAATGGCACATAGAACAAAAATAAAATAAAGATTAAATCAAGGACAAGCAGTCATTCCAGAGACATGTGGTGCATGTGGCAGAGGACTCGGGTCATTGCAAACTGAACAAGTGGAGGTCAACGATTGCTCCCTCCCCATCAGGCTGAATGAGTTTTAAAGCAGACACCCAGGAGAACAAATGATTGACTTCTTTTTTGAACAGTGACTTGCACAACAATGTTAAAGCAACAGTTCACATCTTTTGAAGTGGGGTTTTATGGAAAAGAAATAAACAAATATCTTGCTTTATACAGTGGATGTCTCTTTTAACATCAGATTGGAGAATAAGTTCAATAACAACTGGAACAACAAGCTAATGGCCAGTCTGATTAAAGTCACCAACAAAGTAAACTGCTGTCGTGTTTAAATGTCTTCAGTCTTCTTTTTTAATAATTCATAGGAATTCAGTTTTATATTTATATTTCTGTCAATTTTGCATTACAGTCAATCCTTTAAAAATTAACCTCTCATTTTCTAAATAGTCTTTCAAAAAGCTATATACTGCAGGTAAGCCGTTTACTCGTAACCTTATCTCAGGACCCCACATCCAAAGATATAGACAAGTCTTGGTATGGTGACTGCTGTGTGATGTCTGTGCAACATCTGAGAGTCATCAGGTTTTACTCCGCTCTACAGACACCATATTCAAGAAAATGCTAAACTAAAGCACTTACTGTAAAAAATCCCTTTCACCTCTTTCATAAGGTGTTTAACCTTCGCTGCATTAAATGAAGGAAAAACTAACCTTTATTTCTGAGGCAATAAGGCCTCCACTTCAGAGAAACGCTCATCTGGAAGCAGGCTTCATTTCAATCGTTCTAAACTCACCACAGACATTTTAAAGTTCAAGTAATGCAGGTTTTTTGAAGATCGTACGTTTTAATGTTTTTAACTTGAGCATCGATCATTTTTCTTTTAACCTTGATAGCAGCTGCAGCTTTACATCTTCAGCACTGGTTTTCACGTCTTGTCTTAATATACTGTATTATTTTACATAGTGTTTAGCATATATCTAAGATCTTGTAGCATATTGTTTAGCGTATATCTTATTCAATCAACCTTTGTTTATACAGGTTTATCCCATTGAGCCTTGGGGACTCTGATTTTAACAAAGAGCAATGAAACAGCTAGGTTGTAAGGATCCATATATACCATCTCTTTGTACTTTATATTTTTGCTATTTTGGGTGTAACTGGGACCTTGAGTACACAGTTTCGTTCCATCTCATGTACCACGTGATGCAAATGACAATAAAGAAACCTTGAACTTGCACTCTTCCTGCTTGTAGTTTATTTTCTGATTTCTGGACACAAGTCATGGTTCCCAACATTTCATGAAAACAAAATTCCCTAAATTTTCCCTGATTTTTCTTCGACTAAATCCTGAAATTCCAGGAGATATTTCAATAACATAAAATGCTCAGAACTCATCTTAGGTGGCGTGTAGAGTCACATTCAGGGACTACAGGAAGTAAACTGTAGTCTACGACACGTGCATTCATCCATCATTCCTAAAAATTAATCATGTCGTACATCCGATACTACAAAGCCACCATAGTCAATCAGTGAGGATGCATATACTGCAAAACATGGACTCAAGTTATACTAGAATACTAACATTAATACATGTGCACGTCAAAATCTCAGAATGATTATCTTTTAAATTAGCAGATCAGTGCTCAAAGTCTGTTTTTCCCCGTCTTCAAAATGTGAAAGTCATTTTCCAGTTTTTCCCCCGACTTCCAGACTTACTGGGAACCCTGCAAGATGCACTCTATCCTCCCATTGTATTCTGAATATGACTGAAATGATAATACAGTAAAGCGAACTTGACCTACAGACATGTTTGCAAACACAATCATAAAAACAAAAATTTAAGATACCCCTAATGGTTTTTACTTTGTAAATTATGCCAAACTATATCCAATATTTCATGTTCAAATTGATCATTTAAAACTCAATATTTCACCCACAAGCCTCGACAGAAAGCAGACAATTTTATACACTAAATATTTATAAATACACAAAAATAGACCGACATCCTGAATAAAACTTCAGTCTCTCTTTGGATTTTATGTTCCAGCTGCTGTGAACAAATATTTCACTGACACTAATAATGAGCAGGTTGCTGTGACTAAATTATGCAACCCCCTCCCCACACTTTCACCAGAGATGAGGGGAAAATGACAAGCATTTCCACTTTCATGCAATTTCAATATGGCTTTAAGATTATGTGTGGGCGGTGAGACTGCTGCCTTGGGTTTAAAATGTACACCGTGACCTATCCGGCTTTCATCTATATCCAATCATCGTTTTTCAGCCTTCATAATAAAGACTTTCCTTCAGGAGGAAGAAAAAAAAAATCTGCAAAGAAACGACCAGGCATTGATTCAAATGTAGATATCTCATCTGATGACACCACCGCACAGATTTTTTAGGCATGTTATGTATAAAGGAACAAAAGAGTGAGGTAAACCAGGAGGGAAGAGAATGATGGTATGGAAGGAAATAATGTAATGATTGAGTGGGTGTTGAGGCAGAGGCGGTAGCTTCACCCACATCCAGCACAGAGTGGGATGAGAGGAACGAGCTGAAACAAGGGGAAGGGTACAGTTAAGCACACGGTCAGATAAACAATGTCTAACAATCGTAGGGAAAAAAAAGGCAATAACAGCCAGCTGGCAGGAGTTAGTCTACTTAAACATAAAACATTGCAAATGGAAGATATGATATTCTGACAATGTGCAATCTCAGTATAATGGAGGAGAGAACAACAAACACTGACAGACGACACTATTATTCAACCCAAACGTTAAGTTTTGATTAAAAAAGGAACATCGGTTCACCGGTGAAGGTCTGAGGAGGAAGTAAACACGTTTCCTGCAAGGGTGCTAACTTAGCTGACACAGGAAGTCATTGAAGAAAAAAAAAGATGTCCCATCTGTGGTTACACAGCTGCAGCAAACAGCAAAAAATAAAAATCGTGATTCTAAGAGATTTTTGAGTAACGGGACTAAATTTATCATGCATTTCTTTACGCATACAGTAGTCAATGTGTTAAGTTTTTCCCCTTTCTTGTTATTTTACAATAAAGCCGAGTAAAACTCGCACATCCTTTTGTTTTAATAATAAACAACTCACTTGTGTAAGAACATTTCAGCTAAACATAACTGCACTCTGTCTGGGTTTAAGGAAACAAAGATCACAAGACTTCGTTTCTCATGAGTTTCGTTTCCAGAGGCCTGGTGTTATTTGCTGATCAGCATCCAGTGGTATCACCAACCAAAATCTTGGTTACATATGAAAACGGAACATGAAAGTTATTTCCAACAACAGATGACATTAAAAGGCTGTTTAATGCATTTTATCATGTTGATCCCATTTCTAAAAATGTAACCTACAGTCTTGCAACAAACACCATTCAACAGAAGACTTGATTTATTCACTGCCGTCTGAATTGTGTTTTCATTTTGCTGCAGTAAGCTTTTATGGAACATTCAATTTTGTTGCAATGTTTATTGAAAGATGCAGTAATCAAACCACTGACATGCTGTTTTCCTCTGTATAACTTTAATATGGAAAGTATTCTTTAATGAGTGTCACTGGTGTTTTCTTAATTATGTCCGCAAGCCAAAAATGGGCAGGAATGACACTCACACAAAGATGTTGCAGTAAATAGTTGTGTCAATGTTCGACCCTATTCTAACGTCCAACAGGTGACAGGAACCCCCGGTGTTGCAAAACGCAAACAAAAGTCGGAAGAATACTAGATCATATGGATGAGGACTTTCAAAGCAAGTCCTTTGTGCAAATGTTGTGTGTATGTGTATATATATATATATATATATATATATATATATATATACATGTTTATGCCTTTTAAGGATGTACATAGTTTTTATTTGAAAATGACAAACTGAAAAACTAACTTTTGTCACAGATAAAACTCTAAACGGCATCTTTAAAAGGTCAATTTCCAAAATCACAAGAACATTTTCACACATCTCTTGTGGCCAAGAGATTCTGGTGCAGAGACAAAAAAATAAAAAATAAACTCATAATAAAATGAAAGCAAACAGAGCAGATCCCGTAATTTTACTTTAGAAAACCAAGTGATTTCTGATTAATCAGGGAGCAAAAAGGTAGATCAGAACTGAAAAACTAACTAAAGGAATGGGTTCATTGAAATACACAAGAAACTCAAAAAAAACTAATTAATTCCCAGATCTGCAAAGTAGTTGGTAATCATTTTTCCCTGTGTCCATGTATGCAGGACCCTGTGCTGCAGAGCATATTATGCATTAAAACTGAACAATGAGCAAAAGTCTTATCTTGTTCGACCCAGGTAATGGAACTTTCCAAATTAGAAAGCAAAAAAAACTAAAACGCTTTAATGCTACTGATTTTTCTGAAGATATTAAAAAAAAACACTGGAAACCCTTGAACAAGATTCTCAAACTGTGGTACAAGTACCTCTGGTACCCAGAAATTTTTTTTTATTGATTTCAACACCTTAACTTTGACAAGTTAAATAGGAAGATGGCTGCACAGTGGCACAGTTGCATGACTTCCTCTAAGCAAGAAGCTTTCAGGTTCAACTTAAAGTAGTCTTCCAGTCTTTCTATGTGATGTTTGTATGTTCTCTACCATGCCTGTGTGGGTTCTGTCTCGTTACTCTGGTTTCTTTCCACAATCAAACAACATACAGACTATAATAACTGGCAATTCCAAATTATTTGTAGGCAAGAGTGAGAGTGGCTGTCTGCTGAAAATCTCTTTGTGGCCCTGTGATGGACCTGACCAGTGTGTACCATGACTCTCGCACAACGATCGCTGAAGATCATGCTTGAGGCCCTTCACAGATGCATGGATGTTATAATGGTGGGGAGGAACAACGGCTCAACTCTTGAGCCTCTCCTGGATAACTAAACTTCTCAAGTCTATTCTGAGAAAACTCATTTAGACTGCTTGTATCCTCACTCTTGATCTGTCAGGCACTCCCCAGAGTTCACGACCATAGGTGAGGTTGGAAACACTGACCGTCTGGTAAACAGGGAGAGTGGACTAGTACAGTCTGCAATACTGCTGAAGCTGCACCGAGCCATCTGTCGACCTCCTGCTCCATTCTTCCCTCACTTATGAACTCCTCCACTTGAGGCAGAACCTCACTCTCAACCAAGAAAGAGAGGCTCCCCCATTTCCCAACTGAGGAACAACTGAATAAGTAATTGACTGCACAACTACCAGAATTGTGAACTTAATGGCACAATTTTTACTAGCCCTCCCAAAAATGTTGATAGTGACTGTCTAGCCTAGTCACAACTAGTCTTGTGATCAAGAATCATGTCAAGAGGAAGTATCAGAATAGAAGGCAGCAGGCCTGTTTATTCTTTGACAAGTTTCCTGCCTGGTACAGGAAAGAGGGGTCCAAAAGGCCAGGTAGACACCCCCCCCCCCCCCCTCACAAACAAATAAAAACTTTTTGACATATCCTCAATATCAAACCATCCATCAACAACAAGTAAGCTCTGCCACCAAGAAGCATTTTCAGAAAGGAGGATCTAATGTTTTCATAATCAACTCTTCTTTTTAGTGGAGAAATCAGACGAGATGTCCTGTGGATGTGTGATTTCACCACAGCTGCCTACATCACAGGCTGGGGGGTATCTCACCTCAACTTTGTTGCGTGGGTTGGAAGAAAACTCGGATGACAACATTTGAAACAGTCTGCCATAATTTGCAGGACTAAAACGCTGCACAGTTATCCTGCAATAATAATGATGATGATTATAATAATACTCACCCTCAGAGCTGCGAGGTCTATGTCATCCAGGCTTCGTGTGGGGGCGTTTTCAGACATATCTGCCAAAACTTAGCCAACAAGTGAGCCAGATTTTACGCAATTAGAGCTCGTTTTTGGAGAGGGGTGAGTTAAAAGGATGTTTTAGCAGGTTGTAGACACCCTACAGTGGTTTTCAAATAATCTGATGCTGCAGATTAGATTAGCAAACCCATCGCGACCAGGCAGCCGCCACAGACGCACCCAGCTCGGCTAGCTTCACGTCAACTCCGCCCGAAACCTCCGCTGTTTTCTGCAGTTTTACCAAAACCAGCCCGCTGCAGAATCCCACCGAAATTAACGAGACGCAAAGTACGATATTTGAAGAAAGTGTCAACGTCCCCGCTGATCGGCCATCATCTGACAAGTGTCGGGTTTTAACTGCGATGCACCTTTAGAGCTGTTGGACACCTTGCTGCGTTCATGTTCACGTTTTCTGCTCGACATCCCTGAGAAAATAATGTCGGGTTTAAATCACTGGCGCGTGCCGAAGACGAAAAATATGTTCAAAACAGCACTTTAACGCCCAGGAGGAACATTGTTTTTAAAAGTGCTGATAACCGTGGAAATAAAAAAACTAACGACCGAGAAACGCAGTTTTTTTTTTTTTTAGAAACAACGCAACGTCTGATGTGATGGCGTCCGGGTCCGTCCGCACCAGAACCGACCGTCAGGCTGTCATTAGCCGGATAATTTTTTTTTATTTTTAATTAAACGCCTCGTTTGACACGCAGCCTCCGCCGCTGACAGTTGTCAAACTTGCTCCCACGATTTAAATATCTCCAAATTTCACAAAGTAATCGGAATAAACCTAAACCAGGTGTGCGCGTGCTATCTTTATCGCTCACGCGTTAGCTAACGTAGCTAAGCTAGCAAGCTAAACTGTGTTTTCCAGAAGGAATTAATGGAAAACGTGAAAAACTTTCGCTCCTGGTCCGTTTTCTGTGTTGACAGTCGCGACAAGCACCGCCAGCCTTCAGGGGAAAACACAGACAGGCACCGTAATGGTCACGATATTCACCCGAACCCCCTAGAGGCGGAAAGTCTGCGTCTTTAAAGTTCAGCTCTGCAGTCGAACCCCGGTGACCCGTTTGTATTCCAACACTGCTCCAACAGTGCAAGATATGGTGCAGTTCTACCTGCCGAGACACCGAAACTTGTTATTTCGCCATGTTTTGACTCCCAAGTCAAGGTATGGCAAGCCGATGTACCATATACTAGCAGAGGGCGGTACTGTAGTCCTTAAAGCAAAAAAAAAAAAAAAAAAAACGTCATTAATTACCTCCACTCAAAAATGAACATTTGTTGTTTAAAATACCATTTACCATAATTAGCATTTTAAATTGTCAAACATTAGTATTCTTAGGGCATGCTATTCATTTAGTGGCCCTCCAGCCTTTGGGTGAGCTCAAACCAGCCAAACAATGAGTTCACTTAGAATAAAACTAGGTTTTAAATCAGAAAATAAGATGTGCTTAATAAATATTCCCATTAGATGGGTTAATTTTAAATAAAAGAGGTTTTATATTTCAAAATCAATTTACACGATGACAGTAATGACACAATAATGACATTCAAATGTCACTCTGGCCCCCTGAGCAATTTAGTTGAATAGTGGCACTTTTATTAAACAAATGCTAAAGTTTGAATATAAAGCTGTAGCTAAATGCAGCAAAACCAAAAACAAAAGCAAAATGCTAAATGTACCATAATCAAAGCTAAATGCTAAGGTTAGCAAAATGTAGATAAATGCTAACAGTAGCAAAACTGTTGCGTAACTTTGAGGTTCCATTGGTGCCAAAAATATGTTTATGTGTCTATGTAAAGTGTGTATGTAGCGTGATGTGTATATGTAAGGTGATACGTTAAGTGATAAGTTTATGTAAGGTGACATGTTAAGTGATATGTAGTATGTTATTATGTTATGTTAGCACATATGTAATGTACAATGGACCGTAGTAATGTGATATGTTAAGAGCATATGTAATATGATATGTTAGGCACAATGCAATACATAGGTATGCTATAATACATATCATTTAACTTATTACTTAACATATGCACCTAACATATCCCATTACATATGGGCTTAACATATCACCATCAATATACACAACCCGCTACATATACACTTTACATAGACACATAAACATATTTTTGGCACTAATGGAACCTCATGACTTCATTTAATTATGTGTAGTTTTACATGCCACCTGTAAATTTGCTATATTCAGGTTTTAAAGGTACAGAAGAAGTCAGACGGGGTGTGAGATTAGCATTAAGTAAGCATTTTAAATTAAAGAAACGAGTTAAAAGAAGCTGAAACAGAAGAAGACGAATTCTTTTTGCTAGCACACAGCCAACGAGGTGCTTGTTTTATTTCTGTATTTTATTTTACAAAAATTGTACAAGCATTATTGAGATTTGTTGTTTATTGTTCTTAAGAGTTAATTGTTTATTTTATGTGTCTTCTTTAGTTTTCACGTACCGAATTTTAATAAATTCACCGGTTTGAGGAAACCACTTGTGTCTGGGCGTGCTTGAATGGAATTATATTAGCAAAACCATAGCATAAAGTTTAAATTAGCAAGACAGTTATGGAGCACTAGGAAAAACTCATTTTAGCTATTTACAATTACAAGTTTCATTTTAGATTTCCACAAAAAGAAATCCTAATCCAGAATGTTCTAATATAAATTTGGAATAATCTAAAACCTATTCCAGTTCTTAAAAATGTCATTAGGAAAATAACCAAAGAACCATAAACATGATGCAACAGCGTAATTAGAAATATTTACTAAGATATTATGATATTTTAATGTAAAACAGGTTAAATGGAAATTATGACTTGCAATAACCTTCTGAAATTTGAGTTTCTCCATAAAAATATCAAAAATCTAAAATTGTAAAGCAATTTGAAACGTTGAAATATCCTTTTTTTTATATATAAATGTGAATGTTATTTAAGATCATTCTTATGTCAAGTCTAGAATTACTTTTATTTTGACGTTTTTTTATTGAAATCTAACGTGGCGGGTTTTGTTAATTATATGTTACAACGGCCTACCATACTCCTCCCACCTCAGCCTTGATGTACTGCGCTGTAGTCCAGTGGGTTTGACTCCAGTCCTCAAGTGTTCTCTGCTGTTGAAGAGCTACGGTGCTTCATGAGGGACAAAATACCTGAAAACAAAATACAATTGTGGCTCTCAACCTACGCAGCTGTCTGCCGCTCTGCCTGTTCAACCGAAGTCATTTTCTGAAACTTCAAGTCATCCTGTTGTCTTATTTGATCAAACTAGCCCAGTACTGGGCACAAACACACTTTTATGAAGTCTGATTTAAACTCATAACAGTTATACAGTTATACTGATTACTTTCAGCTTGTTAACACGTGAAACAACGTTAACTTTAGGTTTAGCTGACCTAGAATCTGTTTCTCTGTATAAATAAGGAGAATGTTTGAAAACAAAACCCTGTTGTTTTTTTAAACTCTAAAAATCCCCTGTGACAAACTGGTTGTTTTATCTAAAATAGCTAAATCGTTAGGTGAAATGAGGCGAACTAAAGTAAAAGTGAGAATTATTCAGCTACTTTTATTACTGTTATTATCCTGTTAGGGTAGTACAACCATCCATCCATTATCTTTACCCGCTTCTTCTTTTTTGGGTCACGGGGGTCACTGGTGCCCATTTCCAGCAGTCACTGGGCGAGAGGCAGGGTACACCATGGACAGGTCCAGTCCATCACAAGGACACAAAGAGACAAATGAGACAAACAACCATTCATTCTCTCATTCACACCTAGGGGCAATTTAGAGTTACCAGTCAGCCTAATATGCATGTTTTTGGTTTGTAGGAGGAAACTGGTGTACCTGAAGAAAACGCGCATGCACGGAGAGAACATGCAAACTCCACCCAGAAAGGTCCCGGGCCGGAATTCTATCTGGCAATCGTCTTGCTGAGTGGCAACAGCTGTACCAACTGAGCCACCGTGCTGCATGTGAAATACAAATAACACTAATTTCCAAATACATTTGTATATTTAAGTAATTAAAAGGCAGGTGTAAAGGAGCAAAACGTGCATTAACTGTAAAAAGATCACAGGTGGTGTAAGTCAGGGGTCAGGGCTCTGGGGCTACTTATTGTAGTTTTGACCACAATATTCATGAAAAGGAAGATTTATATTTAGAACCACAACAGTAAAAGCTCATTGTAGCAGTTTTCTTGTCCAGTTTTCTGCAACATGTGAGTAAAACTTCTGTAACAGAAGTTAAGACAAAGAGTAAACAGATGGGAGCCAGTTTCATCTGGTTAACTTCCAGTCACACAGAGTGGTCTTTCACTGAAATCCAAGGACAGTTTTACAAACATTTTATGTTTTGAGTCACTGAAATCAGGCATTCTGCAAAAGTCTAAGAGTAGTACAAATAAGAAGCTTGGCTTTCATAAAAAATAATAATAAAAAAAGATAAAAGTTTAAATAAATTAGGCTACTATTAGAGACGATTTAGAAATACCCAAAAACTTCTAATTTTTATGTTTGCTCAAATAATTTACTCGGATGCAAATATGTGTTGTTGTTTTTTTAATTCCAAAATGTGGTGCTTATAAATTTTCCACAAATATAGAAAGAACTGATAGACTTCCATAACTCAGTGGGTTACATTTTTATTAAAGGGAGTAATATTTCTAGTTAACTAAATTTCGGTGTGGTATTTACCGTATTTTCCGCCATAAACGTTGCTCTGCCCTATAAGTCACATGACTCCAAATATGTCTAATAAAGTGGAAAAATCCATAAATACGTCGCTTCGCCGTATACGTCACATCTATTATGCATCACCGCTGGCGCGTCACGTTTGTTACACATCACCGCTGGCAATGTGGGCCGGTGTTGTGCCAAAAATCTATTGGCTGCCAAATGGCAGCCGCGGGAGCGTGCATGGGAGGACTTTAACATGAATTTAACAAGATTAACACTTAAAAACAAATATTTGTTTGCTCGACATTGTAGTAAAGGTGTGTCTCAGTTGAACTTTTACTTAATAAATGCATTTTGATGGTCAAATTAGCTGCATTTCGCCGGGGCGGTGCAGCGAAATGAAGCTGATTTGACTGTTGTGCAGGCAGACGACATTGCCATTGTATGGCAAGCCGATTGTGTCATTAATATCCACTTTTACCTATTACATTATACAATGGCATGCCATACAGCTCGACTGCCATCTAGCGGATGAAAATGATAGTGTTCAATATTTTTAGTCAGAATGAATGAAAATGGTCATATCTCAGCCAAAATTTGGTTTATACTTTGTAAACATTGGGAAAAAATCCATAAATACATTGCTTCGGCGTATAAGTCACAGGGCATGCAAGTTATGCAAAAAAACGTGACTTATACAGTGAAAAATACGGTATATAAAACTCAATACAGAGATGAGTTATTGCAGTTTGTATCTTTATTTCAATCCTCACATAGGTTTTGCAGCTCTGGAGCAATTTTAGTAAGTGGGAAAAGAAGCAGAAGTGGCTCTTTTGATGGTTTTGGTTATAACTGAGCTCAAGTATTTCCAGTCCGATGACAGAGAATATCATCAAGTTAGCTTATCAGATGAACGTGGTTATTTGGTTTTTGAAAAATGTG